CCCCCCCCACCCCCTCCCCAACCTTTCTCCACTTCCCTCCCCCCTTTCCCATCCTCCCACTTCCCCCCATCTCGTTTTTTTTTTTTTCTTCATCTTCTTCTTCTTCTTCCTCTTCTTCTTCTTCTTTCTTCATTCCTTTCTTTCTTTCTTTCTTCTTTTATTCCTTCCTTTCTTTCTTTCTTTCTTTCTTTCTTTATTTATTTATTTATTTATTTATTTATTTATTTATTTATTTATTTCTATCTCTCTATCTTTCTTTCTTTCTTTCTTTCTTTCTTTCTTTCTTTTTTTTCCTGTTTTTCGTTATATTTCGAAGAAAAAAAAATTGCGACAGCAAGGGGGGAGGGGGGGGCACAATTTTCGCGCCGCCACGTGGCACCCCCCTACCCCCCCCAACCCCTCCCCAACCTTTCTCCACTTCCCTCCCCCCTTCCCCCTCCTCCCACTTCCCCCCATCTCGGTTTTTTTTTTCTTCATCTTCTTCATCTTCTTCCTCTTCCTCTTCTTCTTCTTCTTCTTTTTCTTCTTCTTCTTCCTCTTCTTCCTCTTCATCTTCTTCTTGTTCTCCTTCTTTTTCTTTTTCTTCTTTCTTTTTCTTCTCTTGTTCTTCTTCTTCATCTTCTTCTTCTTCTCTATTCGTTTGTAAATTTTCTTTCTACGTTGTGTTTTGTCTACAGAGATAGAGAGGGAGAGAGAGAGAAAGAGAGAGAGAGAGAGAGAGAGAGAGAGAGAGAGAGAGAGATAGAGAGAGAGATGAGAGGAGAAAGAGATAGTTCACTACTGCGGGCCACGAACGCATAGAACGATGTACATAAGTGCGATTTTAGCCCGCAATAGCGAACTCCATACGTTCTCGTTTGCCGGACGGTTCCTTCTTTGTTTATTCCTGACATTTCTTTTATTCTGTTATTCCCTCTCTCTCTCTCTCTCTCTACAATTTTTCTTTCTTGCGTTCGTGTCTCTCTAACTCCCTCATTCGGACGGATGCATTTGGAAGAATGGTCTGCTTTCTTTCTGTTAAGGCGTGTTGTCTGTGTGATATCGAGTCATGTATGGGGGAAACACAGATGTACAGTACAAAATAACAATGTATGTTTCCATGCACATATAGGCAATCTTTTGTAGGAGCCCGTTGACAAAAAATGAGGAAGTAGTGAGACCCTGTCTCTGCGCCCTCTCTCTCTCTCTCTCTCTCTCTCTCTCTCTCTCTCTCTCTCTCTCTCTCTCTCTCTCTCTCTCTCTTTCCACACGTATCTTTCTTTTTTGCATTCGTGTCTCTCTAACTCCCTCATTCGGACGGATGTGTTTGGAAGAGTGGTCTTCTTTCTTTCTGTTAAGTCGTGTTGTCTGTGTGATATCGAGTCATGTATGGGGAAAACGCAGATGTACAGTACAAAATAACAATGTATGTTTCCATGCACATATAGGCAATCGTTTGTAGGAGCCCGTTGACAAAAAGTGAGGAAGTAGTGAGACCCTGTATCTGCGCCCTCTCTCTCTCTCTCTCTCTCTCTCTCTCTCTCTCTCTCTCTCTCTCTCTCTCTCTCTCTCTCTCTCTCTCTCCACACGTATTTCTGTGTATATACAACCGTTTCCAGATGTCAAGAGTGGCCAAAATCGGACAGAAGAGAAAGTCGGGCGAAGAGTGTCATGCAACGGTGGATGACTTTTTACTACCGGGGGCCAAAGAAGATAAGACGACTGACATGGAACCCAACAAGGGTCGTATAGTAGACAAACAGCGAGAACATATAGACAGGCTAAGAGAGGAGGTGGATAAGCAGAAACAATTTGTGAGAGAGGAGGTGGATAAGCAGAAACAATTTGTGAGAGAGGAGGTGGATAAGCAGAAACAATTGGTGGTCTCTCTCTGCCACACACACACACACACACACACACACACACACAAAAACACACATTCTGGCATGTAGCAATGAAGTTGGTTACTGCGTGCCAAAATCTGAGGAATCACGACCGTTGCGACGGATAATGGCACGCAGTAGCCAACTTGGGCACAATGAAGGAGACACACGCACATACCATACACACACACACATCAATGCACATGTACACACACACACACACACACACACACAGGTCTATACACATATACACTGATACACGAACACACACACACACACGCACCCACCCACCCACACACACACACACACACGCATACACACACACACACACAAACACACATTCTGGCATGCAGCAATGAAGTTGGCTACTGCGTGCCAGAATCTGAGGAATCACCACCGTTGCGACTTGGAATGGCACGCAGTAGCCAACTTAGGCACAGACAAGGAGACCATGCACAGACCATGCACACACACACACGCAAATTCACATGTACACAAATACACACACACACACACACACACACACACACACACACACACACACACACACACACACATGTCGATGACGTCATTGTGCATTTCGCCTGGCAGAGAGAAAAGGACAAAAGACAAATTGTACCATCATGTCGATGTCAGTAGCACAGGTGGAGAAAGCTCTTGCTGAGGTAATGAAGTATGCAGCGGAGGGCATCCACGACAACGGTGACATCGAGTTCTCTTTGCTGAAGGAGAGGGTGCCGAGGTACGTCGCAATCAGTGTGGATATGAGATCCACAATCATGGCAAATGATGAGGGTTGTGTCAAGGCACGAATGCTCTTGCAACGCTTCCGAGAGTCACCACATTTACGTGTGGACAAGGAAGTGGAACACAGTCCTTATAGTCTAAAAGGAGTGGTTCAGTGGATGTGCAACGAAGGGATGTGCGAAGATGGAGACGTGGACATGACAATGCACCAAAAAGGGGGAACGTATGCACCTGCAGATTTCAAAAAGTTGYTGGGCAYTRTGGCGAAGAACTCYGACATGCTTGTTGATGGGTCCAAKGACGARTTGAAAAGTGGTRCTGCARAGATCTTGGTGTTGTCCAGAATGAAGGACATCACACAAACACCACCACAGGACTTTCAAGATGTTCCTGTAATTGTTGCAGATGGTGTGGAATATGTTCTGCTGGATCAGCTCTGCGATTTCATGAAAAAGAGTGATGAGGACARGAACGTCATCCACRAGGYGTTGCACGAARTGACAGAGTTTGMWYTGYAGGGTAAAGATCTGATCGAATTTGTGCCARCGAGAGGAGARGACGACTTCATATCCGRCAKACCRTTRTGGGGGRACTTATTGTCACGCRTTTTGGACCGRCTCAGTCTTGCAAGTTGCGATGTTGAGAGACAAAGAGAAAGAGAAGAAGGGTGGAAGTTGATCGCCAGGGAAACAAGTTTAGCAATCATTCCAGACAACGGAGAAACATCAGCAGCAGAAGAATCAATAAGCAGTATGGCAGTCGATGTGCCTCCCATGCAGATAGCAGATACAGAGGAGGTACTGCTTGCAGATATCTTCAATGCTAATGCTATGGAGAGAGATCAGTGTGATGTTGGATTCGAAGACGCCGATTTGGCAAGTTGTCTTGCAATATACACAGACAATGAAGATACAGAAGAAGATGAAGAAGAGGATGAAGAGGCATCGTCTTCTGACGTGGAGGTGAGCGGCAACGATGTCAGCAGCGACGAGGCAGACGAGGAAGATGATGTTTACTATGATTTGAAGGGGGCGGGTGGACAAATGTCAAAAGGTTGGGCACATGCAGTTCTGAGGTTGGCACGTGCTTTCCCCAATCCGCATAATGTGTTGCGTGTTATGATGAAGGGGGCAACACCTGACGGTGCTCTACAGTATGCCGCAGTCGCCACTATAATGCAAGCATGCAACAAGGGGAAAAAGTGGTCGCGTGTTGGCAAATGATGGTTTGTTTTGGTGAACAGAGAGGATGTGCTAGCAACGTCACTGACGTGGGGAATCAACCTGAGTTGCCTCATACACGGTGCAATGGCGACAGCTTGCGGAGAGACATTGAACCACGACTTGTCAACAAGAGACGTCATAGTTGGTGTTCGGCCACGACATCTCTCAACAGGAGACGCCATAGTTCGCAGTCAACCTGATGACAGACATGCATAGCATATAGCAATGGAATAGTTGTACAAACAACCCTCAACTTGTACATCCGTCAACCACGGTCAGGTTCACTACTGTGTGCTATATAAGTATCCACCGGTGCTGTTTGTTGTCGTTCTGGCCCGCACTAGTGAACCACTCTCTCTCTCTCTCTCTCTCTCTCTCTCTCTCTCTCTCTCTCTCTCTCTCTCTCTCTCT